ATCCTAGATGTATTAGCCCTGAAACAGTATCCTTTTAGTAACATCACAAATTTTAGCCCGGTCAATTTAGACATTCGAGAGTTTCACAGGCCTTTCGGGGCCACTCTTCCGTCGAGAGCCGACTGGGATGGGGAACTTGATATCTCTACCTGGATACATCATATGTACACCGATGGCTCCAAAATAGAACGCGGAGTTGGAGCAGGTATTTACTCTGAGTCACTGGGAGTAAAAAGATCAATTCATCTGCCCGATTTCGCGAGTGTCTTCCAGGCAGAAGTATTCGCTATAGCCGAAGGCTGCCGTCTCTTAGAACGTAGTGGATTGCGTCACGGCGAGCGAGTAGCCATTTTCTCAGATAGCCATGCGGCCATTAAGGCCTTAGCGTCTTTTACAACAAGGTCGAAACTAATCAAGGAGTGTAGGACGCGGTTAAATACTGTAAGTCGTGAACTCGATCTAGATTTAGTTTGGATACCTGGTCATAAAAACATTCCCGGAAACGAGGCTGCATACGAGTTAGCCAGAGAGGGTTCCACATTGGTGTCAACCGAGGACCGGATCTCACCCCCAATTGGAAACTTATATAAAGACATATTTCTCCACAATCTCCGGAAATCGGATCCAAGATGTCGCACCGTGGCAGGCTGCCGTTGCTAGGCTTGTTGGGACTCTTACCGGGCATTGGCCGATTGGTACCCACGCGAGAAGGCTGGGAATCGCCTACAGCGCCTTCTGTAGAAGCTGCAGAGATGAGAACGAGCAGGAAACAGTAGAACACCTGCTTTGCAAATGTCCAGCTCTAATGAGGAGCAGAAATACCATGCTAGTAGCATATGAGTTCACATCGTTACGAGAGCTATCTGATATAAGTCTCCACAACATACTCAACTTCATCAACCACGCCGGCTGGTTCTAACATACTCATTCGAGGTATATGGTATCAAAATGGCACTTAGCTGCTACTTGGGCGTTCCCACCCAGCTGAAAATTGGATTAACGAGTACGCTATAGATCAATAAGGTATAATAAACAAATTTTGAACATTAATAGTAAACTCGCGCTCAAAAAAAAAAAACACTTCGTCACTAAAACTCCAGTTACGCTATCCACATTCAGCGATACCATTGAAGAAAAATGTTTACCAACATTTTTCAAAAAGTAACCAATAAAAAAAAATATCCTACAAATAGTCCGGTCAAATTAGACCAAAAATAGGAGTGAAGTTACAATAATTCCCACCCAGCTGAAAATTGGTAGGATTGTTCAAAACACCATCACAAATGAAATCTAGAAAGTCCTCATCGATTCGATAACTGAAAAAAAAGTTACTCGGGGTCAAAGGTCACGAAAACGGGGTTTTCGCGATTTTCAGCAAAACGGTAAGTTTATCATAAAATTAGTTTGGACAAAAATTGTAGATCAGATAATTATCTATAAAAAATGTCTAAATACTTCTTTTATAAGAGCCACCGTCTCCGAGATATAACGACTCAAAAAGTTGGAAGAGTTGTAGTCGTCATCTATATATATAAAAATGAAATGTTTTCCGTATGACGGCGATGCCTGACCAAACGGCCGAACCGATTTCAATTCTGTAAAAAGTGCTTTTTGGACCTTCTGTGTGGAAGGTTTTCGATTAAAAAAAAACAAAACTTCTTGCTGTTGTTGCCAAAAAATTAAGAAAGTTGAGATGTCACAATTTCACAATTCCATAGAGTTTTCTGTATATTGTATGTCACTAAACTACTAAACGGCTGGACCGATTTGGTTCATATTTGGAACATATATCAGTACCTTGGACCCCGAGAAACTTTTTCTTTCAGGTATCGCATCGATGAGGAGTTTCTAGATTTCATTTATGATGGTGTTTTGAACAATCCTACCAATTTTCAGCTGGGTGGGAATTATTGTAACTTCACTCCTATTTTTGGTCTAATTTGACCGGACTATTTGTAGGATATTTTTTTTTATTGGTTACTTTTTGAAAAATGTTGGTAAACATTTTTCTTCAATGGTATCGCTGAATGTGGATAGCGTAACTGGAGTTTTAGTGACGAAGTGTTTTTTTTTTTTGAGCGCGAGTTTACTATTAATGTTCAAAATTTGTTTATTCTACCTTATTGATCTATAGCGTACTCGTTAATCCTAGAACTTAATAAAAAATAGTATATGAGTAAAGACCAAACCAGAAATTATTTTCCGATTTTTACAAAAACCAGCTAAGGAAATTTGGGATATTTTTTCATGGCAGAATACACTTGGAGGATTGCCATTGCCTGCCGAGGTGCAACCGCTGTTCAAAAAAAAACTTTTTTTCGAATGTGGTTCGGACCAGAAATCGAACCTGCATCTTTATCCACTCCGCAAAAAGTACACCCTAAAAGTTGTTGGGTGCATTTCCTTAAGTTGAAAAAGAACTCGAAGCTCTCGAAACTTGTACGAAACTACTGAAATTTTTCTGAAGTATACCAACGAGTTTTAGTTTTTAGAGTATAAAGGGATACCTGATATTAAATAAACAACATATTATTATTTTATTATTATCAAAAGCCCCCTTTTTCGTACTTGATGAACGCATCTATATAATACTTGAATGATTTTTGTACTATTTTTAAAATTTTTGGAAAGAAGTTTTACATGCCTTTAAAATGATGGATATAAATTTATTGTGTGGTTTTTCAGTCGGGTAAACCCGAAATACTTCCTACATTTCTAAATTTTTTCAAGTCAGAATATCGTTTTTCGTGAAATTTCCATGAAAGTTTCCAAATGCATATGTCCTATTGTTCTAAAAGTACATTCTTATCGAAATAATGTATGCCCAAATTTGGAAAGCAGACAACAATTGTTGAAGTTAGGTAATTTTTTCTTAAATACGGCCTTGAATTTATGTATGTAATTTGCATATCTTTTTCGCAGCGTGCATAAATAATACTTAAATATTCGCTCAAAATTTATATTTACAATAGACGTTTGCAAAAACTTGGATTTTCATAAAATTTTTGGTAACTGGGCGTGGCACCGCCCACATATATAAAATATTTTTATCTCGAAAATCATTTAACCAATCTGTACCAAATTTGATATACACCTTTCGCTTGGCCCCCTTAAGCATCTTGATATCGCTTACTTTGATTTTTCGAAAATTATGGAGCACGTGTTTTTGCACGATTTCACAAACTTAGAGCAATAGCACATCTTTGACGACTTTCATAGAAATTTTTGCAAAAAGCAATAGTCGAAATTGATGAATGAGAAGAGGAGATGAAAGCTCCAAATAATATTATTCAAACGATAGATTTATAGGCATCATTTTGAAGGTCTATAAAGCTTCTTTGCGGCTGCTGTGGTGTAGTGGTAAGCAGTGCGCGCTTTTACTCCGCATGGCCTGGGTTCAAATCCTGGTCAAAGCAACATCGCAAAAAAATGTAGAAAAAAGGATTTTTCTTAGCAGCAGTCGCCCCCCGGCAGGCAATGTCAAACCTCCGAGTGTATTTCTGCCATGAAAAACAGCTTCTCATAAAAATACAATCGCCGTTCGGAGACGGCGTAAAACTGTAGGTCCCCTCTGTTTGTGTGACAACATCAAGGCGCACGCCACAAATCGGAGGAGAATCTCGGCCAAACACTAACGTATGTGTAAGCGCCAATATATTATTATTATTATTTTTAAGCTTCTTTCTTAAACGAATTCAACTTCTACAATCGAATAAAAATAGTCTAGTAAGGTACAGATGAGTGCATTAAGTACGAAAATAATGGTATCAGGGGCGCACCCAGGAATATATTTTAGGGGGGCTTTTATATTTCTAAAGATATATCACCGGAAAATACTGAAAATTTGCTTGATACGCTCTTTAAAATACATTTATGCAAGTTTTATGTACAGTATGTAATAAATAAATAAACGTTTTAAAATTCATAAACTGCACTTTATTTACATAAGATTAACAGAACTCAAACACTTTTAACCGACTTCAAAAAAGGGGAGGTTATCAATTCGCCGGAATACATAACTTTTTTACCACGTGAACCGATTTCAATAATCCTTTTTTTATTGGAAAGATGGTACCCGTAATTTGGTTTAGAGATCCGATGATTGGATCACGAAGAAATTAAAGGTACCCCTAAATTTGAATATGAGAATTGAAGTCGGTTGTGTTCTTTCCTTAAAAACTACTTGTTTAATAAAAACTTCTATAAACTCAAGATGCGCTCAACGTTCAAAAGTACCTAATAAAAAATTTTAAAAAGAGTCAGTAAAAATAAATTTATTGATTCCATGAATTTTTGCACTTCTATGTTCATTTTTTCGATTTCTGGTTTTCGATAGAGATGGTGATTTTTCACGATGGCTAAATTTTTTTAATATTTCAAATACCTAAAAAATTAACTGAACTCTCAAGAAAAACGAAAAATTCATATAAAACGACGGACGAGAAATGGAAAAGAAATTTTCTTCTACCAAAATTTCTTAAATCAGTTTGCAGCTCTCAAAAAAAAAAATGCTCGTATATTTATTCCCTCATGAAAATTTACAGCAAAAGCAAAGCGCTTTTTCAAGCAGAAGAAATTATAATAAATATTTCTTATAATTTCCTTGAGTTTGTATTTGAGGTTATTAGCTTTAGGGGGGGGGGGGGGGGG